TCAATGTGATTATCACAAATCAAGTCATAAACTAGCAGACTTTTAGAGGAAAGAGATCCTATGTTAAATAAACCACATTTAATCATTTTAGCTTCCCCCCCAAATGGAGTTAATTTAATCTTAATTAGATTATCGTGATTTACTCCTCTGGAAATATTTGCTAATTTATTAGATTTTGGTCGTGGGCAAGACACTGTCTGGATGGACTAATGGGTGGGTAACAGTAGAGAAGCTGCAGAGATGTGTGTTAAACTACAACTCTGCTTCCTGGTCTGCACCCTGGCTTGTCAGGCGCAAGTCAATCTCAATTCATAAGAATGCGAGACGGACTCGTGTCCTCGCCAAGTAAGTTCTTGAGAAGAACACAGGAAAGTTTGGACTTGGTGAGAACTGGAGCACGCAGCATTAATATGGGTCAATTGGAACAGAAGCGTACTCGTGACTTCACCACAACTAGAGCTGCACTTCACCTCCTGTTATTAATAGTCTCTAGATAGTAAATTATTATTTTTTTTCCTTTAGTTGGGGAATAATAATTAACATAGTCAGATAAACACAAATCAAATGAACATTTTACCAAATAAAAAAATAATAAAAAAATCGCAGGCTGGGACAGCTGTCAATCTCAAGAATGGACAAGTCTGCTCTGATATGTACTCTGGAAATAGGGAGGAGCGAGAACAACATCTGGGGACTTTGTTCTCTGTCTGCTGTTCTTGTGAATTGGAACAGTACTAAGGCTTAAGTTGATGACGGTTCATGACTGCAGGATGAGAACGCACAAGTACACATATTTAGAAACGGCCAGGGTTTTGGAGGACTAATAAATGTGGCCAGATTCCTAGAAAGAAGAGCTGCTTCATCCAAACGGATGGATGCCGTCTCTCTGAAGCAGACCAGGCTTTCCCCAAAAGGATTGCCAATTATTAATGTAGCCCACGTTGTTTTCAGGACAACGCCTAGACAACCAGCGGTTGAATGATGACATGCGGCTAAACATGTCATCACTGGTCAGATCATGGAGGGGAGCAGAGAAAATTAGTCCGACATTGTTTTGGCAAACATACACACCGAAGCAACACTAACTCTAATGACCTCCAATCAGCGTAACCGGGTGTCATTACCACCAGCTTGAATAATAATTATATTTCAGGTAGGATTTGATGTTGCCTGCTCTGAACCCAGGGAAAAATATTTGACTATGGTCACTGGTGTATCTAATCTGACTATGGAGCTGCCAATCACCAGAGTGGGCTTCTTCGGTTAAAAATGTGGACGGGTTGGTGGTGACCAGTGGGCAGAGATCCCAGACTACGCTTTCTGCGTACAGTTACCCAATCGGCTGACTACTCTGGCACTTTTGGAGGACAGCTATATGGGGGGCCTACTTTAACTCCTGGATGTTCAACAGCCTAAAGCCTGGATTCTAACCCTTACCCCTGGCATCCAAAGCTAAATAAAATACTACACTTATTACACATTATCACTAAAGGAGGCGGAGGAATAACTGAACATCTGACACAGAGAGCAGAAGAGAGGAGAGGAAGAAGGAAGAGTTGGAAAAGATTTAAGGGAGGGAGAGATTGTTGATATACTAAGGCCCCGTCCACACGAAGTCGAAACGAACACGAAACGCTGATATTTTCCAAAACGTTTGTCGTAAAGACGGAGAC